CGGCCCGGGCGCTGCCCGCCGGCGGCCCCGCCGCCCTCCGTCTCCTGTGTCGCCATCCGCCCCGGGGCCTCCCGGCGCTGCGTGCCCCGGGCGGCCCCCCGGAGCGGGTCGTCTTGTCTCTGGGCGGACAGCCGCCTGCGGCCCTCGCCGAAGGGTGGCGTGGTGCCCGGGGGCGGCCTCCCTGGACAGCTGGAGGCCCCCTCGGGAGGGGCAGGACGGCCGCGATCCCCGCAGGCTCCCGTCCCTGCGGGCGCTGCCCTCTCTGCCCGGGAACCTGGCCATACTATTACTATGCAATGACTAATTACGAGTTTTGTTCACAGAGCACAGATGTGTCGAGTCGGCAAAAATCCGAGCCAAATACCCTGACCGTGTCCCGGTGAGTAACCAAGCCAGCTTCATCTGAGTACGTAGAGGCAAAGGTGGATAAGCTGTTTCCATCCTGCCCTCTCTTCTTTGATCAGGTCCTACTAAGTAAATTCATCTTCCCTTTTGTGTCCTTCGATGTTTTAAAGAGGCCTCAAACACATCTAACTAATCCAACATTCCCTCCTCTGTGCCAGTGCATACTGGCAAGTAAGCAAGAGTGCCTGACTTTCTAAACACTTCCCAGGCATGTTTATGGTTTATCAGTGTCCTAGTTTCTTCTAATGGCAATTATATCCCAGCAAATACCTTCAGCGCCTTGAGGATTCATTCTGCGCCTGATCCCAAGAAAGATCATAAATTCTTTAAACCTTGACAGTCTTCCGTCCTGGCTATATGAGGAAGGTTCTTTTCCACAGGTATTCCATGCCTGTAACCAGTCTTATCGTGGTGAATCTCCCCATGCAAACCCTGTTGCTTGAAGAGCCAGTGCGAGTGGTGGGCCCTCCTTTCTGCATTAATACCTGCCTACCTGCTAAATAGTGAATGACCTCTCTTCTTCACTCCGCAATCCCTTTTATCGTGTTTCAGTCCGTGAAATGACCACACTTCACATCCTTATGTAACAGCTAGCAACACGTCCACATTCTCAACGCATCTGCTCGTGAGTAAAATTTCCCACATCCCATCTGACCATGTGCCAGTTAGTGCCAGTCCTGTCTGACCTCTCGGTAAATAACTTGTCCATTAGACAGTGCAGCCCAGAGAAGAACCTCTAATCCCATTGACTTTCTCTGCTGCTGAGTTGCACCTGGTCACAGCGTCTGGTCCAGTTGCAGTCTGGCAAGGTGATCTGATCCTTGCCATTCTCTGCTTGGCCAGCTACCCCCTCATATGTAGACTGTAGCATGCTAATGACCATACATCTCCACAGATAACCATTTGTCCATTTCAAGAATATCTTTTATACCCTAGGGGAAAAAGAGACATTGAAACTCATAGATACATGTTTTCTGCCTGATGATTCAGATTGAGCCATGTACCTTTCACGAAATAGTTGGTATCAAATGTGGTTTTGGCATTTAATAGCCAAAAGTGTTTTTCAGCCTTAATGTATGTTTCCTGCTTTCCAGGTTGTAGCCTGCATCCAGAGTGACATAGGTCAAAGTGACTTCAATTCTCAGCTGCTGTATCTGTCTACCTGGATTTAGAGGTGTTTCAGTGGTTCAGACCTGTTAAGATAATATATGAACAGCCTGCCTCTGTCCTAGGCTAGACTTTTTAGGAATAAAATGGGAGGTGAAAGAAATTCATGCTTGCTAAACACTGCAATTTTAAATTTGCCTGGGGAATCAAGTGGTTAAGGGTTAAAGGTATCTGTAAGTTTTACTAGAAGCAGTTCACCAACAGCCTTGACTTCCAGTTATGACAGTTTCTGCATTATGAAGCTAAAATGCCTAGTGTGTTATTGTAATCTTTAAAAAAATATCAGTTGTTAAGGCTTCAATATTCCTTTCAGGCTGTTCTTGCTCCTCTTTACAGTTTACTCACATTAAATTGCAAGGGGCAGTTACTATGCCCTCCTCCTGTTTCTGCAGGCAGAGCTGAAGAAATTATAAGGAGCACTCTCTCCAGGTCATAAGATAGCACATTTTGTAAATTTACTTGAGCATTACCTGTATGCTATAGCAATGGGGAATGCAGGACTAAGGATGGAGACACTGGAACCTCTTGTAAGCCTTATTTCCTCACACGCTGCATTTTTCCTTCAAGAACTAGCCTGTGTGGAGCAACAAGCACCAGGTCCTTTCCACAAGTAATACTTAATTCTCCTTCCTCCTGTACCTGTTGCTTTTTGTTTGGTTTTGTTTGTGGCCATCTTGCCATCTTTCCTTCCTGCAGTCAGTTTTTAATTTCCTAACGTATGAAGTAAGATACTCTAATATCAGTTCAGCATAATACAAAGCAGAGAATAGCATTGGTGCGTCGTACCTTGACAACAGTAACACAGTGGAACAAACAATATGCCCTAGAGTACAGTTATATTCAGAATAACACGTTTTAAAAAAAAAAAAAAATCTGGGTTCCAGTGATAAAATCAGTATGCTATTGCAGACCTGAGTCTACAGACATCCTAAAATAGTGATTAACATAGGCAGTTGTTTTTTCAAAGTTGCAAACAAAAGCCTGTTGATGCTGCAAACATCATCTTATCTGGGCATCTCTGCTCGGGTTCCTGCCTGCTTTCTGTTACCGAACGCTCCCGGTACAGGCAGAGAATAGCCAAGTTCCTGTGGTGGCCTAGCAGCAATAAGCATGGGTTGTGATTTACTTTTTTATTTATCTTATTTTTTTCCTTACAGCCTATGTATCCCATCTGGCTTTCATTCATATATAGCTAAAACCTACACTTTATTAGTGTGGCTTCACTGTCATCCTGTAACTTCACCCAATCAACTGAAGCTGTAATCATATAGTTTTTAACATCAGATGCATACATTGCTGGATTATCTGGCAGTCTAAGTCTGGTACAGCAGAGGCACACAGAAAAGATCACATCACAGCACCTTTCTGGTGATTTGGTGGAGTGCTCAACTGGCATCCTTGGCAGGCCAGCTGGTATTCCAGAGCGTACTGCAACCACGCTTCATTTCTCTTCCTTGAGGCATTGTTGAGCCTGGCTGAAACGCTTGGTGGCTAGCTGTGGGAAGTCAGTAATCATTGCCAAATTAATTAAAGAAATGCAGACAGCATGGATGTCAAATCAAAAGCAGTACTGCAAAGTACTGTAAAAAAATGAACATGTGGTCTATGGCCAACTAGAACCTTGGGTTATACCACAGTTCACACTGCAACTCTATCAGGTTTTTGACGGTATTCAGAGATAACATGGCTTCTTCAACTCTGCCTTGAGTTACCTGAAGTATGCATGTGCCTCTGCGTAGCGCGACAGTTTCCGACGTACTGGTACGTGTTGTGTAATAGTATGGTATGCTGCAGAGATGAATACAAAAGACTTCAGGGAGGAAAACAAAAGTGTTAATGACTACTCTAATGCTCTAGATGGAAGCCCGAGAGCCATTTTGGCATTTCTGGCTTGTACACAACAGGTGAAATGGTAGATTAGATACTAGACTAGATTGGTGGTTCTCCCTCCCATTTACCTAAATACTGATTTTTTAGCTTCAGTGTTACTGAAATTTATTTCTAATATTCTTTTTTTTTTTTTTTTCTTTTGCTATACTCCATATCAAGGCAGTTGGTTCTGTCATCTGTTACGAGCAACTTGGGACATTGTTTAAAGAAGACAGTTAAGTTGGAAGGGTGGAGGTGGTGTGTATATTAAACCTGTATTTCTTCGTATTGTGGCATTTTATTTAGTCATGACAATTTAAAAAAGGATAGGGCATGCTTGTTGCAAACTAGAATTCTGTGTAACACAAGATTTCAAGCAACGATGGCCACACTTGCATGTCCTATGAGGAGCAGCTAAGGACTCTCGGCTTGTCTAGTTTGGAGGAAAGAAGGCTGAGGGGTGACCTCATTGCTCTCTGCAGCTTCCTGAGGAGGGGACGTGGAGAGGGAGGTGCTGGGATCTCTCTCCCTGGGACCCAGGGAGAGGACACATGGAAATGGTTCAAAGCTGCATCAGGGGAGGTTCAGACTTTACATTAGGAAGCATTTCTTTATCGAGAGGGTGGTCCAACACTGTAACAGGCAGCCTAGAGGGTGGTCGATGCCCCATGCCTGTCAGTGTTTAAGAGGCAGTCGGACCATAATAACATGCTTTAATTTTTGGTCAGCCCTGAAGTGGTTAGGCAGTTGGACAAGATGATCATTGTAGGTCCCTTCCAACTGAACTGTTCTGTTCTATTCCACTTTCTTCTTACGTCGTGACAGTGACAAAAACAAAGTAAGCAGCATCTGTACAAAGGGAATGGACTTCCTCAATCACCTACCATTGCTCAGGTGCCAGCACTGCAGTCTAGTTGAATTTTTCATGACTCCACTACAGCTGACTGGGGCAAGAAAGGAACAGGTTAAATGGATTTCTCAGTTTGCTACTATCAACTGGAGTAAGTGAAAAGACAGAAGTCCTGGACTTCAGTCACCGGTTAGTTTAAGGGAAGTAGTGCAGACAAGCCACTCCTAAACCCAAAGTTTTCAAGCTGCCTGTGCTTTGAATGTCTCGGTAGATGCCAGTTCCTCTCTTGCCGCTGACCCTAAGCTTTTGTTGGGGAATACACTATTTTTGGATAGTGCACATGGGGAACTTCAGAACATTTTGAAAATTAGCCATATTTAAACACAATAGGACGTTACTGTCCTGGTATGAATAAATCACAGGATCACAGAACGTTTGAGGTGGGAAGGGCCCTCCGGAGGTCACTGGTCCAACCCCTCCCTGCTCAAGCAGGGCCACCTACAGCCAGCACCCAGGACCACGGCCAGATGGCTTCTGAATACCTCCAAGGGGGGAGACTCCACAGCCTCCCTGGGCAACCTCTGCCAGTGCTCCGTCACCCGCACAGTGAAAAAGGGTTTCCTGATGTTCAGAGGGAACCCCCTGTGTTTCCATTTGTGCCCGTCGCCTCTTGTCCTCTCCCTGGGCACCCCCCTGAACAGCCTGGCTCCATCTTCTTTGCACCCTCCCCTCAGGTATTTATACACATTGATAAGATCCCCCTGAGCCTTCCCTTCTCCAGGCTGAACAGTCCCAGCTCTCCCAGCCTCTCCTCGTAGGGGAGATGCTCCAATCCCTTAAACATCTTTGAGGCCCTTTCTTGGACTCTCTCCAGTATGTCCATGTCTCTTTCTTGTACTAAGGAGCCCAGAACTGGACACACCACACCAGGTGCGGCCTCACCGGTGCCAGTAGAGGCGAAGGATCTCCTCCCTCGACCTGCTGGCAATGCTTTTGCCTGATGCAGCCCAGGATACCATTAGCCTTCTTTGCTGCCAGGGCACGCTGCTGGCTCATGTTCAACTTGGGGTCCACACTGCAGTAATTTCATATCATCGGTGTACAGAAAGTTAAAAGATGCGTATACTTTCGTGTCACAGGTTTCTTTTAGACATATTGCATCTTTTTACCCCATAGTCAACCGCAGGCATAGGAAGCTTTGAGCCATTGTGTATATGAATGAGGGTTTCAGTGCAGTTGTAAAATCAGGTTTTACAGTGCTGAGCCAGTGCTACCTCTCATTTGGTTGCGGTCAAGAAACCTTTTTGTTCCTCCCCTCTGCTCACTGCTGTAAGCCCGTACCAGCAAGCGATTTACCAAAGCTGTCTGTTGGTACCAATCCTGAAAAGCCTGACCCTCACACCTGTGCTTTACAGGTCATAGTGGAGAAGGTCTCAGGATCTCAGATTGTTGACATTGACAAGAGGAAGTACTTAGTTCCATCTGACATCACCGTGGCCCAGTTCATGTGGATCATCAGGAAGAGGATTCAACTGCCATCTGAGAAAGCAATATTCCTCTTTGTAGACAAGACTGTCCCACAGTCCAGGTGAGAGGCTATTCACTTGGTATTCAGAACCATTTCAGCAAGCGTGTGCGCATGAAGGGGACAGTAACTCCCCTCTTTGAGGCTTATCTGGTGATTTTGGGAGGTGTTTGGCTACATCTTAATCTCACCATGACAGGTTTTTTTCTCACAAGTTTGATAAACATTTCTTCAGCTAAGCTGAAAGGAAAGGTGACTGAAAAATATATTATGATTTACTTCCATGGCAAGAGGGTGACCTCTGGAGTTATGATGATATCTTTGGTTGAGTGCAAGAACATTTACATCATCAATGCCAAAAAAATAATCATTCTCAGTGTAACAAAAAAGTTGTATGTTAAATACTCGAAAGCAAGCACCATAAATTATTCTGAAGAAACATTAACCTGTCAGCTCAGAAAGAAATTATGACATTACAGACTAGTTGCTATTGCTCGTTTTAAAAATTAATTCTTTTCTTCTATAAACACAAAATGCAAAATGACTATAGAAAGGTTTTTCACCTTGCTTTTATATAGGAATAAGTTTCATTGTTGTCTGCTACGTACACAATAATGTATAGCAGAAGCAGCTACAACAACTGCTTTCTATACGAGATACTTAATACTATTTGAGGAAATAGTATGTCATGGTGTTACATGGCTTAGATAGAATATTATTCTTATTAATCCTTACCTGCGTAACAGTCCCTCCAGGTAACTCGTCCAGACTCGGTCAGGAAAATTTTTATTTACTTTGTGATACACAATAGGCACCTGTGAGAACGACCTTTTTCTGCTTGGTGGCTTCTAAGAGTATTAGGAATGCCTATATGTCATCTTTTTAACAGTGCGGTAGAACTGCTAGAAACAGGAAAGAAAAAGAAAGGGCACATTGTCTCATCTCGCATGTTCATGATGAGATGTCACATCTCTGCTGGAAAAATAGGGCTTTGAACTTTCAACGTTAGTGCAAGAATGGTAACTTGTTAACAAATAAACAAAAATCTGATCTATTAATGGCTCTGCTCCTCTCGTAAGCTGAGTTTATTACATAGACCGCTACCTCTTGACATCCTTCTCACCCAGAAGTTTATCTACTACTCACCAATTCCCTTCCAATTCAAGTACTGCCTGCAGCTCTTCCCAGCTCCTCTCTTGGGTAGAAAGGCACGATTGTTCTCCCTATCACTCACATTCAGCCTGCATCTTTCAGTTCAGCAGCCTTTTCTCAGTCTGGGGAAGCCAGACAGAGGTGAGCTGAGGAGGCGTCATTTGTGCAGCTGACTGGTACCAACTGCCTGTTTCATCTGCAGATAGACGGTTGGAGCAGTTGTACCGGCCAAGTAATTGCTTGGGTTTCTTTTTGTTTTCAAAATACAGACATTGCCCTAAAGGCCGCAGCTGCTCAGATGGTGAAGGGCCACATGCCTCTTCAGTTTAAGAAAATTTTCCTTTGATCAAATGTTCAAAACCTTATCCACTGAAAAAGCACTAGTTTCTGGCTAACTTGTAATTTATTGCCCACGCATTTTGGTACTAGTACTATTTTAAGTCATCACTTTTTAACAACATAGAAAGCGAACCTTTTACTCCCCAAAACAACCTGGACCTCAAAGAAACAGTCCAAAAAGCACAAGTCTGATAGACTGGAGAGCAGCTGAACATTCACAGCCACACCAGGTGGAAGGAGAAAAATGAGGTTGCTCAACACAAGACGATGTTAATGCAGCTGCATTCAAGGAAGGTGCGGTCAGGTATTGATCCTTGTATTAGTCACAGCATCAATAATGGATGATTCAGAACCTGAAATACACTCAGTGACTAATTTCCAATAAAATAAGGAAGCATTCTGACAAATGCATTTGAGAAGAAGTGACAAAAACCCAGACAGGGTGCAGAGAGCCCAGAATCATTTTGCTAACTCGGGAGTCAACTGCTTTTCAGAGAGCCTCATTTTTGGATTTTAATTTACACACAGAGTTACCAGTTTTAGCTTTTATTAATCCTTGTTTATGTGAGGTTCTAACTGTTACCATTTGCAACTGTCATGATCTAAGCAAACCCTTTCTCTTTTTTTCCCCTTCAAGCTTAACTATGGGACAACTTTATGAGAAGGAAAAGGATGAGGATGGATTCTTGTATGTTGCCTACAGTGGAGAGAACACATTTGGTTTCTGAATGGTGGGTCTTGGCTGCTATACCATCCTGCTGTGTATCTTGTAAATAGCTGATCATTTTCTGTTCTGACATCCACAGAAGTTCCTTCTATATACAAGCATTTGTAACTGGATTTATTTCTTAATATATTGATAGGTCTTGTTTTACTAGACTGTTAAATTATCAAAAAAAAAAGTTTTGTTCGTTTTGTGCATTGTTTTTTTTTTTTCTCATGGCTATGAATTCCCAGAGCCTCACTCCTTTGGGGGATACATTTGATGACATTGATTAAATAACAAAGCAAAGTAGTTGGGCTACTAAAACATGAAAAGAAGAATATGCATTTATTCTGTTTTGAGGTGTTAGTTTAAGAAAAATAAAAACATTAAGTTAGTATTGGGAACACTGGATTTGCTGGCTTATCCTAAGCAGGAGCAAGATGCTGATCATGTTGAATTGAGCTCATATGTTCCTCTTTCTCAATTAACAAACAACTACAATAAAAATTCCTGTCACAAACAGGCAGTGCTGTCATTTCTTTACCTTAATTTTGGCCAGAAAGTTATACATCACATTTACTAGACACTATACAGCTGCTTATATTATTTACTAGACACTGTACAGCTTCTCAACCTTCAGTATGTGGATGACGATACAAGGAACAAGGAGCTATCTGTAAGTTCCAAAACCAGTATCTTCAGAGCCACTAGATCTCATCAGGAGAAGAGCTATGCCTGCCTACGGGCACTTTTAAAAGGGACTTTTAAAGGTCCCTTCCCACCCAAACCGTTCTGTTTTACTTAGTTGCGGCAGACAACTAGAATTAGAAATGCTGCATGCAAGATGAAGAATTCAAGATCAGTTCCTCCAGTTTATGAGCACTATTGCCAAAGCACGTATGCAGCACAGCAAAAGTAAAGAGGCTTTGCCACAAAACCAAAAAAGCTTGTTACTCACGAGGCGCTCAACTTCTCTCCAAATGGGCTTACCATAGCTACAGAGCTACCTCTACTTACAGGCAAAGAGGCAAACCGGTGGCTCTGCATGGTGGGGGCGTGCGCGGAAAACACCTAATTGACTAATTGCGCAGTACTGGAGTTCACACTTTGATATTAAAGGGTAACACTGGGTTGGAAAAGTAACATCGCTTTGAACTTCGTAAGCCGGCAAGGAAACACTAATTACACTTCAGATTCCTAATAAAAGTTTTACTTCATTTTCACGCTACATGGTGCGGAAGAGTTTAGTTTTTAGAATGTTTCCAGTCACAGTGGAAATTTATCACTTTCCAAGCTTAAATCAAATTCATAGTAACTCAAACTCCCAAGAAGTCACCTAGAATTATGTTGGGCTCCACAGTTATTCACAGGTACGGGTAGGACTCCACAACGAGGAGGGAGAAGCCCGTGAAACGCTGACCCTACTCTGTTACTGAGGCTTGTCACAGTCACAGTGCCGTGTGTGCTTACGGCATCTCAAAATGTGCCTTTGACTTCAGCAAGCCTTCATTATTCAGGCTAGCGCTGCCACGTATGGCACTGCTTTAGTAAACACTCCGTCACTGCTTCCATCGTGAATTCCTTCTACCCCCCGCCTTTCCATGCATTTAGTATTAATGTTTACTCTTGACAGAATTTTTGATTCAGAATGAAGAAAAGTGGTTTAATCTGTAATTTTTTTGTTACCTTTTATTACTGGAAAATGTTCTGTTTCCTTTAAGCTGAAACTTCACAGTTTGTCTATGGTTATACAGTAATATTTTTTTGCTAGCTGTTAGCAAGAGAGTAAGAAATGTAACTTAAAACTGCTAGATAAAGCTAATTACATGCTAGCACATAGATACATCTAAACAAAACAGGGGAAGATGAAGTTTTATTCCCAATGTTATGATCGAGGTGACTTCTGGGATACCCTTCATAAGCCCCTAAAAAACCCCACATAACTACTTTCTTTAATGTCTCTGTAATTATTAGTTTAGATTTAGGAGCCCACGTACACAAGTAATTCCAGAGAATGCAAGGATAAATCACTAACTTTACTTTTCATCTACAGATGCACTTAAAATGGCAATAAAACATCAAGAGATTTCCTTTTGAAATGCACAGATGAAATGCATCCCTTTAGATAGGGCAGTCACTCTTGTAAAATTATTAAAAGCATTTGGGTCCCATACGGTCTTCACTTTCTGTTGACCCTTCAGGACTGGGAAGGCATTTCAAACGAAGAAATGCCTCACTGTTCCTACAGCAACACTTCTACATCACCTATCTTTAAGCTGACTTGAAATGTCACCTCCAATATAACTAAACCAGTACTAGATGAATTTAGATGGTCTTTCCTCCAAAATTGCCCTGCTTCCACCTGTAAACCACTGCTGCAACCCTCTTACAATGACACTGTCAGATTCTCGGGATGGTTACGCTTTGAGAGAAAGAACTGCTAGGCCCCTCAACTACATTTGGCTCCCAGTTTTACTCCCACACCTTTCTTTCCTCCTTACCAACAGCGGCTTCCCAGAAGTAACTCACACTTCCTTTCCATACTCACGCCTCAAGCATTTTCTCCAGGTGTGGTTTCATACAGCTAGCAGTTTGTAACAAGGGAAAGGAAGCCTGCCTCCACCTCCTCCTGCCCTCGGCAGCACAGCCCTAGCCCCTCCTGTCCTCGAGTGCTTACTGGGCTTAGTGCAAAGCGGATTTAACTCCTAGTGAAAAGCTGCAACTTGTTTTGGGCTCATGATTTGTTTTTCTACAAAGAGTAATTTGAATAGTCTTCAATTTCCTCTGAACATACTGACACCAGTACGCGCTCCAGCCTGTGTAAGGTGAGCCGCGGAAGAACACTGCGAAGATCAAAACCCTGCTTCTTCAAAGGGAGTGGGATGCTAGCGTGCTGTCTCGTGGAACTGCAGCCTCCAGCGCAGACTACTTCTACACTTGGACAAAACCACTTGTTTCTATGCTCTGGTTTTGACTTCCTGAAAGATAAGCAGGCGGTCTGCCCTGCCGTCTTACTGTGATTGAAAACAATGATTTCTCCAATAGTGAAGCTGTTAAAGACATCCCACTCAAAATAAGGATTACAGTTTCTTTGTTCCGGCAAATAGGGACCATTGGTCCCCATACTCGTTTGGGAAAGTCGAGGACCTATCTGGGCAATACAAATATGCTCTGGAGAGCATTTTACACATGCCTTGGGAATCTCAGTGCCCTCATATGCTCTGCTGCTCCCATTACCAATTGGTTGGTTGTCCTCATTAACCATGAACTGTGGGCACTTCATTTCCCCTACTTCACCCCACCCTCTGCTCCCCTGTGGCAGAGTCTCCGCATTCCACTGTCCTCCCTACACCTTGCCTATCTCTGGTTTTCAGTGTATCAGCTCTTCCAGTGCAAAGGAGTGATACAAGCTTGGAACACGTCAACTGCTACCTTCCAGGAGCAATTCTGCCAAAGACCTGCTGACAATGATGAAAGTTTAGTTTGCTGCCTCTTCCAAAAGCAGAGATTCTCTCTCTCTCTCTCTCCGCGTTTTTCCCTTCTGATTTTTAGATCGTTTCTTGGCGCTGCCTACAGCATTTCCTAACATTTTGGAATTAAACAGATGCAGCATTTAAATACTTATTTTCAATCCCAGAAATGCTACCCCATGGAGTATAAGATCCTGCAAGCTTAGCCCCTCAGCCTTTTAAATGCTGCTTTGTTTTAGCTCCTTCCCTCTCTTCGCATATTCATTGACTCACTCTAGGCTAAAATGTGTCCTCAACTCCATCCAAAAAGTGAGGTTAATATCAGTGTTCAGCACCTCTAAAACTACTTTCAAACCTGACAAGTAGTAGAAAGCAGCAGTCCACAGTTCACAAGTATTTTACAAACACATAGGAGAATCTTACCAGGAACAACCTCTCCTAACAGCCAGGCTGAAGTTTAGGAAAGAGTTAAAAGAATTTACATCATATAACTGCTCATCTGAAAACCAGCCTGATGCCGAGACTACAGAACAACTAGCCTCATGTAACTCATTTTCATATTGCAGCTGGATAGGAAATGGGAACATTCCAGTCTGGTCAGCAGGTTCGCTACAGACCTTGTTGATTAACAAAGGGAAACTAGGTATGTTAAGGTAGACTTTCTGCAAGATTTCAGGGAAGAACAGAGGTAAATTTCAGGAGCCTGGAAATGTACTGCTTCTCTCTTCAGGTGCGCTACAGGACTCTGCCCTTGGAATACTATTTGCTCAATTACAGTAACTGCTACCATCTCTCTTCAGCAGTTCACCCTGTAGCCCATCTGCGATGCCATCGGGCCATTTTTCATCCTCTGATGACTAATGCAAGTCACCGTTCTCCATAATCCCCTGCCCCCTACAAACACATACAACGACTCCACCCTCACCAATACAACTGGTCTTTCTGCATGTTAGTGCTGGACTTGAGAGGACAGGCTTATACACACAGAAGTTAAGTTCTTTGTTACTTCTTCAACAAGTAAGGGAGAACTATTCTTATTTGACAAGTCAACCCAAGCGTGAAGTAAGAAGATCTGCTGTAATCAATTCTCAGACTGTAATGTGATATGTACTGTTCAGTCCCATATGTACCTTGGTAGGTTGACTGTAAAGACTGTTTGGAGAACTGCTGTGCCCATTTTTCAAATCCAAAACTATAGTAAGATACCAAAGAACAGAAAACTCAAATCACTAAAGAATTCTTAAGTTCTAAATTACCCACTTCTTTCCTCCGGCCATTGCCTTGTCCAAATATTTTATGAGTTGTAGTTTACAACAGAAAAAGTACAAAAAGGGAGTGTGCTCAGTAGCAGTTACATAGTCCTGAACTTGCTCACAGAAGGCAATAATTGGGACAGAAAGTTTAAGGAGGATTACCTGCTGCTTCCCCCCAGCTTGCAATGTTGACTGTTTTGCCATGCAGATGTTATGTGGTAATAAAGCATAAAGGCAAAGACTGCCAGAGACTACTTCCAGTCCCCCACAAAGCATCTCCACCTTTGCCAGGCTAGTAATGAACGCTTGCCAGGAAACAGTGACATAAATGGCTAAGGCATCCCTGCTTTTAATTAACCATGTATCACAGGGGAGCAGGGGAATAGACAGCGTGTCAAACACGGAAAAGTAGGTAAATGTTTGCCTGGAATTACACAGGATTGACAGGTTTGAATCAGGTAATTCAGGAGGTTTCTTTCCTGCCCATGGAAGCAAAGCAGTTGAAGGGGTATCTGGCAAAGTCCTGAAATTAGGAGAGATGCACGGGATATCGTAAGTGGTATTATTTGACACAGCCTTCTCCCCAGCACTCCTTTGCTTCTGCTTTGGCTGTATTTAGCAAATAGAAGCTTATCTGAAGGGCTCCCAGAAAAAAGACCCTTTAGCAGAACTAGTATTTCCAGTTAGAAGCGATGGGGCTGGGGGACACAGAAAATTCTTCCAGGCACCAGACTAGGAGAGCCAAGAGTTATAAAAATATTACTTACTATACATTAGGGTTGTCCCAGCAACACAAAAACCAACCATAACATTATGAAGAGTGGAAGAAAAAAGCAGCACTAAAATTTTACAATGACGGCCTTTCTTCCATAGCACTGCTTCAATTTCAGTTGACATTACTTCCATTGCAATGGACTATGGCTGATAGATCATATCCTCAGACAGCAGAGGCTAGCACACCACTGCTTCCTTTCTTTTGGAGGCATAAAGTTCTCAGCTGCATGAAACAGTAAGTCTGCAATGATCCTTTTCTATATTTCAATAAAAAGGGGGCTTCAACTCAGCCAAAATAAAGACTTCTCTAAATTGCTTTCCTTTTCAGTCCTGTCTCCTTACAGCACAGGAACTAGAGGACAGCTTTTCCCGGCCCTTGAACTGTAGAGGTATCTGCTGTGCACCAGGGCTTATTGCTGGATTTACATAGCCGCATGTATTCTCATGTGAAGTGCAGGTATTCCTTGTCATTCTTGACCCAACCCAGCAGAGCTTGGCTACGCAGCACCTTCCAGGCTTCTTGATAATTTAATGCAGCTTCCTTGTAGTCCCAGTAGGTTTCTAGAGTCTTCATCCTGACAGAAAATGCACAACAACGAAAACATTTCTATTATCCTATTGGATGTAACATCATAAAATGAAAAGAGCAATCAAACATCTAAGAACATGATGATGCCCTATAAGCTCTTTCATGCTACTGAGTGAAATTCTCTTGCGCTTCTAGGGAGACTTGGAGAGGCCCAGGCCCTGAAGCTACTGTATCTAGACATTGTCAGCCGTCTTACAAAAAGGAGCAAACCAACTCCCCTACCATGCGTCATACACACTCTCCAGCAACAGAAGTGTGTTTGACTGTGTAGTGACAGGTGACAGAAAACTTCTATGGTAGCAAAAAATGTCGAAGCAAAGCAGAAAAGGTGGCTATAGACAGGTGCTTTGAATTGGGTGGAAGTAGCTTTGTTTTGCTAGAAGAATGGATGCAATTGCTGGCTGGAAGGGAAGGGGACAAGGACGAACAGGACAGCTGTTCTTTTCCAACATGAAATAATGGGGAAGAGTGAGACAAAGGAGAAAGTTGTTTTGGTTTTTTTTTAATCTTCTCCCTAAAGCAAAAGAGACTCGGCAGTTTTGGTGCTGCTCCGTTCCCCTTCCTCACGTAGCACCTGCTCCCTACAATCTCAGCAGAACCATTGGTCACTCTGCTGAGAGCATTATAGCATTAGATTTTCAAAATAGGGAATTCAGGTCTGGAGTATCTGAACACAAGTGCCTCTAAGACAATTTCATCAAGACTTTTTTCCTTTTCTTGCATTCCTTTCCCAGTCTCTTTCGTCTCCCTTTGCCAAACAGTCTGTCAGCCACATGTTGCACGTAATGTTTATACATTCGACCCAATACGAAGGGAAGATCATAGGCAACATGACCTTCATCAAGAAAGGGGAAGAGCCAAACTACTACAGGAACCCTAACCTAAAAAGTCTGAGAACCACTGCACTAACTTCCAGAACAGGCTTTCATGCTCAAAGGCAATATTGATCACACACGCCCTGCAGCAAAAACACCCCAACAAACCCAAAAACGGTAACAGCAGACCATCAGAAGCTGTATTTCAGGCATTCAGCATTCTGCTATAAATGTATTTCTAGAACACTGTGACATACATAGCCAGCCATGAGACATTCTCTGTCCTGCAGACCTTCGGTTCAGAAAGTGCAAGAGTGCAGAACTTGTCTATGCCACTGCTGAACATGGGAGACGTATACTTTCTTACAAACCTGCCTGCACTCTTGTCACAGCTAATCCATTTTGTATTCTCTCTTTCACATTAATCAAACTCTATGAAACTAATCTCCGAGCTGCTCTGGAAAGTTCCATGACAGGGTCCACTTCAACTCTCCTCCACCTGCCCAGTGGAACAGTCGCAGAACCCCATTATCAATGGTGGATCATGGTTTAGGAGCGTCACTGAACAGGCAAAAGACCAGTAACTATCTGCATAAGCAGCATTCAGGAAACAACACAGGTTCAAGAAGGGCCAAGGTCAAGGTCAACCCACCACAAGCAGCTCCAAATCCCTAGCATAGGCAAGCTGTTCCTCTCCCAGGTAGTCCGACATGTACCTCAGACACAGTACAAACCACCTGCACCTTCTCCTCCACCTCAAAAGCATTCCCTGGGGAGCAAGGTGCATGCTTACACTCAAGGATAACGACCGAATCATTCTTTGGGAAGAAACTCTCATGCTAACATGCTTCTTGCACTTAAAGTACGTCTGACGTATTTGTTTAAGACTTTGGCCCTGCCCTTCTTCTCCATAAATGCATCTAATGACTTATATTTGTCCCTTATCATAGAATAGTTAATATCAGATGCTGTTTACATCTTCAAAACACAGCTACTTGTACTTATGAGGTCACATTTAGGATGGTCAAAGATCAAAAAATAATTCTACAACACAGATTTTTGGACTGGCTCAATCTTGTTAAAGGTGAAACAGCTGTTTTCCTTGCACTTGCTGGGGATGCACATATATAGATATAGATCCAGACACAGATAGATAGATTCAACCTGCCTCTAAGCCAAGAGAAAGACTCCAATGCCTAGCTGTTCTTCATTTCTTCCTTGCTAAATGTTGCTCTTTTTCCTGAATCTGCTGGCAAATCAATGGCTCTCCAATTCATATATGTCAGTCTGATTCAATTTAACTAAAACACATACAGGATTTTTCTAACCTAGATTATTCCAACAGACCTTTGTTTGGAAACTGTTACAGTAGACAGTAAGGGAAAACATAGCCAGTACAAAAGCAGGATAGACGGTAAGGAGCAGCTCAGTATTTTCACTCCACTGTAGCAGCTACAAGAGCACACGTGACTGCAGCCTCTTGGGGCCTCATTCTGCAAGCAAACAACATCGCTACAGGATTTAACAGTGGATGCAATAAAAAGCTGAATTTTAAAAAGCTTCCTCAAAGAGCTGCCAAAATCAAATCGATTTAATTCATGCTCAACTTCCACATTAAGGTTCTAAGAAATTTTCAACATATATATGGGAAAAATGCTTTCAAATTCAAAGTACATTACGTGTGCCTAAAAACCTCACATGCTTTGACTGTATCTTAGCTTTGGTTGGGCCATTAAGGCTCTGAGCATTAGTAATGAAGAACCTGCGACATTTTTTTTTGGCAGAAGTGAACACTAGTTTGCTGCCCCAGGCAAAGTCCAGTACAATCATATGATCTCCAGCCTATCCAGGTCTGCCTGACTACATTCCTTTTATGTTTCCCTTTACTATTTCAATCTTGCCCCTACACTACTGTGTAAGAGAGAGACAGAGTGATTCCAATGGCTGTGTGCCAGAGACGTGAGAGGTGATCCACAGATTTCATTCTGAAAGGTATCACGCTCTTGGAAAAAGCCTTACACAAATCACCATTGTGCTTGAAAAGATTCACGTGCTCAGCTGAGCAGAAATGGGCTCACAAGCAAGGCAGTCTGCAAAGAAAAGCAATACGCTGCTGCAATACTTTCTTCTCAGCAACAAACCCTACCTTTAACCCCATATTCAGTTTCAAACTTTTACATTCAACCCATAATGCACTTTTGAGATTACAGACCTATTGCACATGAAAAATGTTGACGTAAGCGCAAGGCATCAACCAAAACATGACTCTAAACAAAAATTAATGAATCACATCTAAGAGGGCAAAAGCTCACAGATCTTCAATATATCTGTTGTGAATCCATAATGATAGGGGGCCAGAAAACCATACTTGGCCTGATTCTATCAGTATCTTCTTCAATGCTTCAGATAAAATGCAGTCATTGCAGGCAAACTTTATAATTGACACCAGCTGTTAAGAATAAAGTCACAGTGAATTAACTCAATGAGTGAATTCCACTCCAGTACAAGTTTTAGCAGTAACGTAAGGTTTTGCAGCATTTGGAAGATTGTTACTGCATTGCTGTGTCTAGCTTGGGAGACCAGATTTTCAAAACATTATTGAAAAATTGGAAAATTAGCTTTGTGGCTTTTTCCAATGTCATCTGAGATGTGGAAAAAATGAATCACACAGAGGAAAAGATGTAGAAGCTCAGTAGAGTGATTAAAAAAAAAAAAAATCAAGTCTTGAGATAATTATGATGGATAAGTATCTTCATGGGGCAGAAAATACTACTTAATAAAAGGCTCTTCAATCTGGCAAAGACCTAACAAGCATCTGTGACATGCAGTATAGAAAAGATTTTTAGTTAGAACAGAGGACCTAAGTGTCCCGCAAGCCTCTATGCAGTGGTAGGACCATCACAGGAATTCTTTCATGTGCAAACTTTAAAAAGAAAATTGAAAAAGAACTAGAAAATTGCAATAAAATTCTTGCCAAATGTGTTTTTTTGTTTTAATTAGAGAACAGCAGTAACAGTGAAACCACACCCCTCCCGTAACAGTAACTTTCATTAGGCTGAAACTTCCTTACACTCATCCTCAGTCACTCTAGCAGGAAATATTAAGTGGCCACCTGGCGGAATCTTTTTGTTTTTCACAAGTGAACATTGGCAAAAAATCTTAAACATGAAGCCCAAGTGAAAGTTCTATACTTTAAGTCTAGCTATTTAAACCTTAAAGCCATCTGAAAGTCCTTGCACTCGTCTGTACAACAGCCCACCCCCTCCAATTAGGTGTCACTGGAACTGGAATCGTCCATGCCGCAGACTGAACGGGAAGGAGGAAGAAAGCACAATCTTAATTGTGACAGCTCCTGACTAAATTTAAGAGAAACCAGGATCAGCCATCCATTTAACAAGCCCAGCAAGAAACTCAGGGCAGGTTTATGTTACAAAGTCTCACTTCGATTCAGACCAAGGGTTGCACAGCCAGCCACACCTTGCACAAACAGCAAAGCCTGGTGACTCTGTATGGTGGATGCCACCGTATGACAAAAGGCGGCTCTCGCTTCCTCAGGTGATGAACAAGACATGTTTTTTTCTACCAGCAGGGAAAAAACACCAACAATGCAGAAAACCTCCTTTGCCATATTACCACCAAGTGATTTGCAAACAACAATGATAGCGCAGAGGTGTTTACGTAACAATTCAGATTAGCAACGGCACAACACTGCCCAACAGCGTGTCACCATTCCTTTGACAGTGAGCGTGGAAAACATGGCGTGGGGGGGGGGGGAAGGATTTATGTACCTGTAATTTCAAAACATTAACACGAAACAACATGTGAGAGGGAGTTAACAGAAGGGAATGAAGCATGGCAGGTGGAGGTAAGAGGTTATAAAGAAACATTAACATTTTAAATAGTCTAGCTAGAGGGATGAGTGAGACTAAGTAAGGCACAGAAGACAGAGATCATAGAAATTATCAGAAAGGAAGAAAGAAAGTGGGACAGCATAATACAGCACTATCTGGTTCTTGGTGAAGAAGTAGCTAATGCCAGCCAACCACCACCTTCTTCTCAGTCTCAGCTGAAAGCAAATAAACTAAATCCTGAAAAAAACAACTGCTGAATGTTATGCTTAGCATCTTAGCTAAGCCACACCAGTACAAATTCCTAAACTTGCCTTTTAGGTGAGCCAGCAAAGTCCTGCCCCTGGTAGGCTCTCTACCTGTTCCAGTTTAACAGTGCCTGCACTGATCCTCTGGAGAGAAGTGAAGAATGAAAGAGAAAGGAAGGCACAAAAAGCAGGAGAAGCAGCTTTAGACACAGGAAAGAAGACGACAAAAGAACATCAGAATCCATATACTAGTTCCATGTAAAGCTTTAACTGCCCCAGTATCCTAGGTCTGACAGTGGACAACAGCAGATGAAGGAAGGGTTAAGTAAAGAATGATCCTTGTCCTAATATACCCTACAAATACCAAGATGAGCTGTTCAGCAGATCTGAAAGAACTACAGAATGAGATTCCCTTGATTGAGCAGAAAGGATGGGAAGCAAGAGACCAGAAGGTGGACGAGAAGAGGCAGGGCAGGAACTTAGGGGCAAAGTGGGAAAAAGAAACTGAGTGAGAGCATAGCACTAGAGCCAACCATTTGTGGGAGGAAATAAGATACAGTTCAACGGGAAGAAAATACAAAACTGGGTAACAGTTCAATACACAGGACTTTAGAGGAAACGATTTCAGAGTGTGGGATTTCTTATCTGAAGTCCACTCAAATTCAGACTACAAGGAGGAAAGGAAGAAAAAGGAAGAAAACGCATCAGAATATGGTGTAGAAAGGGAAACAACAATAGGACAACATTTTTTATTTTGCCTTTTAAGCCAAGAGTAAGAAAAACAAAGACTTCAAAAGGAAAGCAACTGGACAAGCTGACTGGTGAGCTAGCACCTCTACTGTATAAATAGAGTTTGTGCAGCCTAAAAATGATGCCACATCTGCGAATCAGCTGGACTTTGTCAGGAGAAGCCCAGACAGAAAAATGGTAGAGGACAAAAAAGTCAAAGGAAATTACAAAGCCACTGGAGTCTAGAAAAGCCCTGAGGTGAAGTGACTTTATGTAAGCAGCACATGACCAGCACACTGAGTCACCTACCCAGCAACGCACCAGCTCACGCTCTATTCTGAGGAAATTAGGATGGCTAAACAAGTGAGGACAAACTCCCACCCAAAAGAGGCTAATAATTTTATATTTAAAACTGAATTAAGGAGAAAGTGTATCTCTAACTACAGAATCATTTCAACCATTTCAGCAATAGCATGGCTGATGTTGACATCAGAACTTTAAAATAGTTACGAGACACTTCTACAGACACAGAAGGTAACTGCAATCTTTAATTCACAAAACTCAAAAGCAAGCAAGATCTAACAATTAAAGATCCAGGGTGCGCTTACTTTGGCTAAGTTCATCTCATCTAATGTCTTGGTACCATGAAAGGCAGAAAAGGCCTATCTCCCCTGCTGCCAGCCACACATACCTCCTACTTCCTTTGCACAGGTTTTATTATCCGTTTTAGCTTTCCATTATTCAATTCAGATCATTAGTCCCATAGAAAACACAGAAGACAAGGAAATTGTTTTCTGCCACATGAGTTAGTTGAAGCGGCTCACCATGAGGTTGGAGAAGTGCTACTGATACAAGGGAGAAAACAGGAATCTACAGCCAGTAGCAGCAGAGACTGCTGCAGGACCATCCCCATCAGCAGCTACAAGCAGTTAAATTAGCTCAACAGCTGGTATAATTACATCCCAGAGCTGGTGAAATCATACTTGGAAATGAGTCTAAAATAAAATGAACCTTCCAAGGCAATGGATTTAGAACCTTCTACATCTCTCAGAATCTCTAAGCCAAAGTGAGAGACAAGTTTCTGTATATATGAAACTATGCCCTGCTCTATGGTAGCTATTTGGGCTGGAATACCACCAAATACAGAATGCAATACCAGACCAGATGATTACCACAAGAAACTCCAGTCTGATAAACCAAACTTATTTCTAATAATATTAAAGAAACCTCCAAGTATGGCTTCCTCAGACAAAAGCTTCTTTCTGTTCTTTCCAGAAAGCCTCCTTCTATGTAATATACGCATTGCAGAAAGAGCCCTACACACTGTCTCACCTTACTAGCTCTTACTACATCATACACTTAGATGAAAAAAGATTTTAGCCTAGAGTTTTCTAAAAATAAAAAATTATTTTTTTTTTTTACTCAAACTCTTCCTTCTTGTGAAACAAAGAAGTGGCATTTGATAGAATTACTGAACACCAACCAGATATCAATAACCCCATGATAATTTTGGGATGGGGGGGTCTGAATGCCACCAAGGCTACAGTGCTGCAGGCAGCTGATGTAACAGCTCACGTTTTCAAAAGAAAAGATACTACTTCCTCCTCTCACCTCCCTCTCCAGTCCTACTTCCCCAGCTGTCCACTGCCACTTTCAGACAAGACCACTAACTCAGAAAAAAAACCCAAAAATGCAGAGCTTTCTGCCAAGACAGCAAGTTGAAGAGGCTTACAGAGGTGTCCAACAGACCAGATCTAGTGCAAGAGAAGGACAAGGCTCCACTGATCAAGAACAGAGTTTACCCTTTTGAAAAGCAGTAACCCTTCAGAAGAGATCAGCTGCCCCAAATTCTGACCTTAATTCCAAGCAAACAAACCACCTGCAATTCCTTCTGTCTGTCTTTAATGCATGAGATGCGATAGTTATTTCTCCAAGGAGGTGATTAAAAAGACCAAAAAGAGAGTCTTCCTAACCCATCAAGCACATGCCGTATTTTTCAAGTATCAAATTTTAACAATGAACTTATCTAAAGTGAGATTCATGAGCAGATTCTGGTATCATCAGAGTATTCTTGAGTTTCATTAAGATAAATTCACTCTTCTAAATACAATGAAAATGTCTTTACCGGAGAGTGTCTGGTAGATCCTCTTGTGAAATACTTGTCACCAGCTTTTGGAATGTATGGAAGAGTTCCGCTTTACAGATCTTGGATCTAATAAAAAAAAAAGAAATAATAAATTTTGATGGAAAAAAGAAATCAGAAATGCACTTCCTCTTACAGCTCACAATAGTACATCCCAGCCAAACATTTTTTATTTAAAAAAAAAAAAATTATGTTCACTTCTCAAAGAATGAAGAGTTCTCCACAATTTAACTTTTCCTACCCCATCTGACCTGCCCACCTGCCTTTTCCCTTCGTTTTAAATGTTATATTGTCAAAGAGTTGCATTGCCCCCATTGTTACAGCCTGCACTCTGTCAGTTTGCAGAGAGAACATTTTAATATCCCCACGTTGTCATCTGTGTGAGACTGCACTGCCATCAGCTCACAACTACAGTAAGGTTGAGCCAGAAGGACTTGTCCCAGAAGTGATCAAACAGGCACAGAACAACTCCAAAGCTTTGCTCAAACTGACAAACTTTGTATTATTCAGAACAAATAAAAGAACCAGCAGAAATATCTGGAACGATGCTGTCCTTTTCACAATGGTGACGAGGACACATTCAGCAACAGCTGCAGTGCAGTTAAATACGAGGAGGCTCATCAAAAAATACAGTGAGTAAAAGTTTGAAAGGTCTTTTAAAGATACCATATGCATCTCTGTCAGTTTAAGCCCTTCTCTTTCCCCAAAGAAAAGGCAACCAGAAGAGCTGTTTATAAAGCATGGTTTGTTTTTGAAAGCCACGGCTATTTTCTCTATTTAATTAAATTCTCTTTATATACTTGTCTTCACAATGACTGATTCAGTTCTCCAACAGCATTGAAAAAAAAACCAAACCCACCAATCAAAACAAAGCCTTCCTATTTTGCTAGTATGTTCTTTAAGAATCCCAAAATTGGCATGCAAAGATGCACTAAAATTTCCTCTTCGTGTTAATCTGTCAAAGGTTCATATTGTAGTTTTTAGTGTTTGAGTTAATTAAGCATTAACAAAAGCACATACCAGACATCTACCTACAAATTCCTTTTAGTCAGTCAGCTTTCCCTTCCATATCAAGGAGGTTGATAGTAGATGAGTGTTATCTAACATATTGAGGAGGGGGGGAAACCCCAAACACCACCCCCCTACCAATCACCCTGAGAT